GCCCAAATTATAAAGTTATAAAAAGTCCAAGGAAAGTCCAAAGAATAAATAAATGCAAAAAATTAATAATATAAATAAGAAAATAAAAATAATATAAAAATATAAGTAGATTTAAAATATATTAATAATTTATTAACAAATAAGTTATATTTATTTATATAATAAAAATATAATTAACTGTAAGGTAATAAAAAAAAAATATAATTAAATATTAAATGTTAATATTAAATATAGTTTAAACAGGATGTTTCTTAAAAACAAATATGTTTAAAAACAATAATAGTAACAATAAATAGTAAACAATATTATAATATTAAGAGTTGCTGCTATCGAATGAGATAATACGATAGGTTTATTATAAAAGCAAAGACATAAAATTATTTATAAAATCTCTATAGCTGCGACTCAATGTAGAAATTAGGAACATATTTTTCAGCTTTTGCTTTCTTTTTTTTTCATAAAACTTTTATTTATAATTAGTTTTTGTATTATTTTATCTTTCGAATATGTATTATAATCTGTCTTATTTATTACATTTTTTTCATTTACTTATATCTTTTAATTCCACATTTTGAACGCATCAAACTGCCTCAGAGTCTCATTCGTAGCCGCCTCATCAAACATAGAGTATGAACAAAAACGCATTGCTCTTTACTGAATTTAGTTTATGCTCCAATTAGTTGCTTCCGTCGACATCTCCGAATCTGCTGCTTCTTCTACATCTCACCGAAGCACTCGTTGCGTTTCTTTTGTGGAACGGAAATCAAAATAATGTTTTCATGCTGATTTATGAATCTATTTACGTTGACCGCTGTCCGCTCGTCCTGCCATCCACCCGTCTGCCCGTCCGTTCAGCCGTTCAGCCGTTAGTCCATGCAGTCCGAGTGCCGATTTGCATGTGATTCATGCTCTGAAAACCATGAATGATTTCCCCTTTGTATTCGTGTTGTGCGCCGCCTTTCAGAGCAATGCAAAATTGTTTAACAGCCGCAAAGCAAATAAATGACTTTGAGGTTTTTTCGGCAAGTTTTCAGTCTGGACATTATGGAGAGTCCAAATTGGGGATAAATCCTTTTACGCTCCACAATATTTACATATATAGCTATTGTGGCCACCTCAGCTGGCTGGTCTGGCCGTGAAGTCTCTATCGGCTTATGAAGTCGGCAGCCAAGACTGTCTTTCATATTCATATACTTATAGAATTCGAAAGTTGACCAACTGAAAACTGAAATGAAAGGTTATGAAAGGGAATGAGCACAATAATAGATAGAGAGTGGAGTGAAAGCAACAAGAAGTAACTGTCACTATTTGTTACTGCCTTTTTCCACTCAAACGCTTCACGCAGCCGGCAAGAACAATGCTGAGGGAACTCGCACGTGCTGCGACTTAGGATCTGCCTGACAGCAATGGCAGCAATGGCAGCAGCATTCGTTCCGTTTCCGTTAAGTCGCCCAGCGGTCTGCATTGCATGTGCCCAACAACTTACAGCGCTCTCCCTCACTCTCACACTCTCACACTCTCTCCTGCTCCTTCACTCACAGTGCTGCTTGTCTTTCTATAAAGTTGACTTTTTGTAAACGTTGCTATATACACGGGTATTTATGAGTATTTTATTTTGATTCCTTTTTGTTACCACACACACACTTACACAAACACACACACACACTCACATTGATTTTGTTGTAGTGTGCGGCATTACCCGATTGCAAAAGCTTAAGTAAACAAAGTAACCAAAAGGACATTTTATGTAAAAAGGTTAAGTTACATAACATGACTTGACTTATTTTCGTGACTCTTTTTTCACTCCTCTTTTGCATTTTACATACTCCACAGAGTATTAAAAGCCCTTTGGAATGTTATGATATAAAACAAAAACTTGCTAGAATGATGAGGTATTAAGTGTTGCTGCGGCATGCAAAGAGTTGATAGTCATAACAAAAGCTAAAGGAGATTAATTTTTGACAATAATAGCTAAACCAAGTATTTAATAATTAGTATTTTATATATTTAGTATTTAATAATTAGTATAGTGATCATAATATAGAATATATGCATAAAAAGTCGACTGAAATAAAGCAGTGAGAGAGAGAGAGAGAGAGAGAGAGAGAGAGAGAGTGAGAAAGAGAGAGTGAGAAAGAGAGAGGTGAGGGATAGAGTGTGTGTGTGAGAGATAGAGATATAGATGGAAAGAGTGAGAGGTAGAAACTAAACGGAAAGCGGTATATAGGGTGAGAGGGATAGAGAGAGGGTGAAAGAGAGAGAAAGAGAGACATAGAAAAAGAAAATCGTAGAGCAATTGATAGAGACAGAGTGTTGAGAGCGAGACAGAGACAGACGAATTGAAATGAGCAATCAAACAGAAAAAGTAAAAGAGAAATTGAATTGAACCTTGAATTATTCATATAAAAAAAATATATCTATAAAAAATATATTAAAAAAATAATTCTTTTTTTATAAATTAACTCTTTTTGTAAAGAGAAAATATATTTTAAAATATTATACAAAAAAATAATTGCTATTCAGATTAGCTTGCAAATACATTTCAAACTGGTAAAAAGAATAAAATTTCTCTCTTTCATTGTAATATTTTTTCAGAGCTTAACCCTTTCTATTTTAATTTTCTATTGACAAGCAATTTAAAAATAAAAAAAAGCAAAAAATGTACATTATTGGCATGCTCGCATTTATAGAGATAAATGTTGTTAGATTTATTTATTTTTTATCATATAACATGCGTTTGCTTGCCGGCGGGTCCCAACGATAAATACTAATGGCCAGAATGGCCAAAAGTCACATAAACAATAGCCGTGAAGAAAAGTTGGCGTTGCGGAGTGAGGTAATAATAATGAAATTGCCAGAGAGTGAGAAAGAGAGAGAGAGAGAGAGAGTGGGATAGAGAGAGAGAGAGAGAGAGAGAGTGTGTGTGGGAGAGAGACCAATGGCCGAGAACCGAACTCAAGTTCATTTATTTTTATTGTTTTTTGCAGCTTTTGGCGGCAATTTATGGGCCCAGCGGCAGATGTACATATATACATTTGTATATATGTAAATGTATATATATTTTAGATATTTATATATACATATATATATCTGAGCAAGTTGGGTCGGTTTTTATTTTATTTTATTTCATTTTACTTTTGAATGGAAAATGCCCCAAAACTTGGCGCGCAGTGAAAGTGCACAAAAGAAAACGGTTTATATATAGAAAGAGAGAAATAAATCTATATATATATATCTATATAGCTAAAAGAATTTACTTTCCTCAATTTTTCGTTTTATTTTTTGCTCGGTTCTCTCTCATCTTCTTTTGTCGCGCTGCCTAGGCACAAGAGCCAACATTCTATCTTATTTTGCACTAAATTTTAACAGGATTTAGCCTTGATGCTCCTCGCTGTCATTGCTAACAAGCTGCAGCCTCTAAGGCGCCTCCAACCCCAAACAGAACAACAACAACAACAACAATAGTGTTCAACCGACCGCACCGAACCGCTGTCCAGTCCAGCTGCTGCCTGGGTGTGGGCGTGGTTCGAGTCGAATGAGTTTTGTCGCAAATCCGCTTACGACGACATCGCAACAACAGCAACAACAACAACAACAACAGCAAGAGTGTGATGGCACCCGCTTCGAGTTGTCCGCGTTGAGTTGATGGGAATGTGATGTTAGCCTGGCCCAAATACACGCCACTCCCACAACAACGCCCACTCCCACACTGCGCCCAGCCCACTTAAAACACGCCTATGTCCGCTCTTTCATAGCGCCCAGCACTTGCCGTTGGCATTTTTACAGGCATATAAATAAATTTCATAAATCTTTTGCACTTTAACGCTTCTCCTTTAACTTGTCCAACGGACGGCGCAAGGTCGCTCAGCGTGTGTGTGGGTGTGTGTGTGTGTGTGTGTAGGTGTGTGTGTAAAGTCCTCTCTGTCTGTGTGTGTGTGCTTGTGTTGATTAGAGTTGGTCATGTGTCGTGTTTGCTTTTTACGCATTTGTCACAATTCATCAGAGAAATTTAGAAGCGTCAAATTGAATGAAATATGCGAAAGATTCTTTAATAGTCGGTCATCAGATAACATAATGATCACAATTATATATACCAGTGATAAGATATTTCTTATTTCTTAATAAATAAAAAACATAAATAAATGTTAAAAATAATTCTTTAAAATACATTTTTTTTATTTGCATAAAAATAAATATAAATAAAATATGTAAATAAATATAGCTAGCACACATTAAATAATACAAAAATAAATGTTAAAATTAATTGTTTAAAATATTTTTTTTAATTGCATAAAAATACATATAAATAAAATATAGTTAGCACATATTAAGTAATAAAATAAATATAATTCAAATATATATAAATAAATATAGTTAGGACTTATTAAATAATAAAATAAATATAGTTAATATATACACATATATATAAAATAAATAAATAGCAATTTTTAATTATAAATTATCCGATAAATAATGTTTATAATTATACTCCTATTATTATTATTATAATTTGATTTATAATATATAAATTATTTATATATCCTATAATATATATATTACATATTATATAATTTCTCATTTAGACATAGTCTGAAAAATTTCCTTGCTAAAAAATATATATAGGTTGCAAATATATATAGATAAAATAAAGGATAGTTGAAAAATGTTTCGAGCAAGGCCCGACAATACAGAATAATCCCTGTTGTTTGTCAGTATGTAACAATTGATATAGAATCGAATTTAATCTAATCGAATCAGAGAGTTTAGTCATTAAGAACTTTGTGACACGCGGTATAAACACACTTTCACGTTGTCATCTCTATTTCCTGGGCATTATTGAGGTTTTTCTTTGGTTGGCTCGACGGAGCCTTCAGCATAAATGAATTGTCAATTAGGCTTCAGCCCTCACAATAAACATGTGTGAGTAGGCATATATTTAGTTTTATTCTGGATCCTCATAAATTAGTTAAGTGTCACAAAACACAAAAACCCAATACACAATTATACACCCATTTGTATTGCAGTTTAAATTCATAGAATGATATTAACTGAGGAGGACATCGATGGCATCATCAGCCAATTGTGTGGCCTCAAAGCCGGCTACTGCGAGCTGGAGGCGGACGTGCTGGCCGCCCTCTGCGAACGGGTGCGCGAGGAGTTCGCCCAGAGTCCGATGCTGCTCGAGATGGACGGCCCGATCAATGTCTGTGGCGATCTGCATGGGCAGTTCGAGGATCTGTTGCGCATCTTCGAGGTGTGCGGCTGGCCGCCGAAGCACTGCTATCTGTTCCTCGGTGACTATGTGGACCGGGGCAAGAAATCCCTAGAGACAATGACGCTGCTCTTCGCCTACAAGCTGCGCTATCCGAGGCGAATGCATCTGCTGCGCGGGAATCACGAGTGTGCGAGCATCAATAAGATCTATGGTGAGACAGAGATTACGAATAACTGAATAACTGTATGCCTGCCCGTATTCCGCAGGGTTCTTTGACGAGATGAAGCGTCGCTATAGCATCAAGCTCTGGCGCAGCTTTGTGGATTGCTTCAATAACATGCCCGTGGCCGCTGTCGTTGGCCAGCGAATCTTTTGCTGTCACGGCGGACTGTCGCCCCAATTGCAGAGCCTGCAGCAGATCCGGGACCTGCCACGGCCAACGGATGTGCCCAAATCGGGGCTGCTGTGCGATTTGCTCTGGGCCGATCTGAACTATGCGGGCCATGGCTGGGGCGTCAATGATCGCGGCGTTAGCATTACCTACTCGGAGGACATAGTGCGAGAGTTTCTCGTTCGCAACGATTTCGATTTGATTTGTCGCGCCCACGAGGTGGTCGAGGATGGCTATCAGTTCTTCGGACATCGCATACTCCTCACCATATTCTCGGCGCCCAACTATTGCGGGCAGATGAACAACTCGGGCGCTGTGCTCAGAATCAGCGAGAAGTTGACCTGCTCGTTCACCATCATCAAGCCCATTGAGTACAACGCGCCCAGCAAGGACATGGACAAGGAGATCTCACTCCACTGATGGAGCCTCTCTCGGTGCCCACTCCTGCTGCTACTCCTGCCAGCTGCTAACTTTTTAACTGATTTTGTAACTTTATATATGTATATAATGTGAACAGGTCCAAGACGAATTTCATGAAAATCAAAGCGTTCGGATTCACTCAACGGGCAGACATATTTGACGTGCATCTGGAGCTGTCGATTATGTGTATATATGTATATATGCGTGTATATGCGATGGGTCTGGCAGGTACAGCAGGTCGCAACCTGTACAAAGGTCAACAGCTGGGCTCGTTGAACCCTGGACCCTAACGCCACATGTCAACGCCAGCTGACGGCCTCTCGAACTTTTGCACGCATTTCTCTTGCTCTCTCCTCTCTCTTCCTCTCTCGCTCTCACTCTCTGCTTGAGATATTTTCTTCTTTTGCTGCCTTTGATGTGCTGCTGCTAAAGGTAGCTTGTGTTTGCCATCGAATATGTGACGCATGACTGGAGAGCTGGCAGCTTATTGAACGTCGATTATATAGCTCACCCAGGGGCATTTGATATAGGCAAACAAGCTCTTAAGCTCAGCCAATAAGATTCGATAGAGATTGTTGCTGTAGATATTGTCTTTGATTTACTTAACTCAAACTAGACTAATCTAAGTCTTGTAGTATTAGCTGTTAGTTGTTATAGAAACTAATTGCTAAAAGAAATTTTTGTTTTTATTATATATAATGTCATTAAAAATGGCTTTCGATATTTTTAATTGGCATTTAATTGAAAAACTAACTAAAACTAATACTTCCTTTTAATAAATAAATAAAACTAATATTTCCTATTTTTTATGAATCGATTAACTTAAAAAAAAATTTTATTGTAAATGTCCATAAAAAGGCTTTGTTTAGTTATATATATATATTTTTTATTTGTTTTTTTTTTTTTGTTTTGTCATCTGTTGGAAAATCGACAGTATGCAAATTTATTATATTATTTTCAGATAATTTTTCTGTATACGAAAAATCATTCAATAAACATTAAATTAGTAATTTTATATTAAAGGTAGTTTAATTTAAATTATTTTTTTTAAATTAATTAATTAAAATTAAAAATAAAGCTAGAATAGTTTTTTATTTTAAGTAAAAGCTGTACTTTTATTAATCGAATTTTTTTATAGTTTTTCCATTAATTTTTTAAATTATTTTTTTAAACAATTTATTTTAGTAAAAACTTTATTTTTTAACAATTTAATATTTTTTTTTAATTTTTTCCATTTATTTATTTATTTATTTTTTTTTTTAAATATATTTAATAAAAATATATTTATATAGATTCACGTATATTCTTGCCATTTGGTATATATTTGAAAATTTTAGTCTAAGCCCAACTTAAGAGTATTTGCTAGCCCACAGTCTAGTCTCACTTCTTGCAGTTGGCGTCTGGGTCTGGCTTTTGGCGTTTTGGCCATGTGCTCAGTCGAATGAATTTTACATGGCGCTTAACATTGACTCTTGAAGTTGATTTGCTGCAAATGAGCGCTGATGCTGATGTTGCCACACTTTGTTGCAGTCCTCGAGTGGAGTTTCCTTGCAGTTGCTGCCGCTGCTGCTGCTGCTGCTGCTGCTGCTAAAAGTCGCCTGACAGTTGCCAGGCTCACAGATGTTCATGACGCTGCAGCTGGGCCAAGGGACGGGGGGCCAAGGCAAAGTCAAGTTTGGATTTGGTTTTGTGTGCGCAGTGTTGCATACAAAAGTATATTCGTGTGGAGTCTGTTGCTTGCGTTGCCGGCACGCTCGAATAATTTAATACTCTACATGGCGAGCAACAAACGAGTTTCCACTTTTTTACTGGAAGTTGCCAGGCAAGGCCAAAGCCAAAAGCTAGCATATTCATTGGCCACATACATATATATATATGTATATTGAAATATATATAACTACATCTGTATGTGTGCGTGCACATTCGGCATGCACTGTGTGTGCCATTTGACTGCAATTTAATGTTCTCTCAAAGGCAGCTTCTTGAATTCTTGCTGCTGCTTTATGTTTGCAAAATGACAAATCACATTTATTTATTTTGTACCTACACACACACACACACATATGCGCTGTCTGTGTCATGGCTGCTCTGTCTGGCTATGCATAGTTGAGCCAGCTACCGTTGAGGCCTTTGAGTCCGTAGAGTTAAAGGCTATACGAATGATTATTTTGACACGTGACTCAATGATTCCCAGGCATTAAGCGTAGTATTTTCTCTCGGTTGTGAAATCGATTTGTTATGCAACAGCTCCTCAGCAAAACCCATTTGAGACATGCTTCAGCAATCATCTGATAAAAAGCATCTACACAACTTTAATTCAGCCCTAAAGTACGAATATTCAACAAATTGCTGCTGAAATAGTTTCTCTTTTGATAGATTGGCATGCAACATAGATTCCTTATATAAGCGTATATGTATGTATGTATATCTTATATGAAATCAAATATCTCAAGTATTTTCTTGCATTTTTCTTGTAGAGGTAAAACTATTTGTTAAGGTAAAGCTCTTGTGGATTCGCAATAAATTGATGCAATTTAAGAAATATGAAGCTAGATATTAAAAAAAAAGAAATATAAATTTAAAAAATAAATAAACAAATTTATTTAATTGCCTATTAGACTGACATATGTATATATTAAAATTTAAAAAAAATTGTTTGGTATTGGTTTATTTCATTACATATAACATTCTTTTATAAATGATATTTAATTATTTTTAATAATTGTTATTTCATTAATTGTTGTTATTTTAAAAAATTTGCATAATTATTTTTTATTTAAAGGTATGCATATAAAAAAAATAATATATGTTTATTTAAAGTATTTATAAATTTTGATTATTATTATTTTTTTAATAATTACTACAATTAAAACTAATTAGTTTTTATTTATAATTTTATTTATATTACAAATTATATATATATTTTTTTTATTTTTTAATATAAAAATATTGTTTATACTTTTTTCAAATTTTGTACAATTTTTATGAATATTTCTTAATAAAATTACAAATAATTTAGAAGATCTTCCTCAACTTTGCTCTGAGTTCAGTAACGTAGTTTTTCCACATCTTTCGTTTTCGTTTTGCTCACAAAATTTGATGGCTTATGCTAAAGAGATTAAACTCTAGCATCGGAAAAACGTATAAATGTTTGCTACCTGCTTAGAAGAATGTCTTGCGAAAGCAGCTTCAGGTTGCTGTGGCGAGCAAACTCATTGATTTATGAAAAGTTGTTTTGGCCAACTTGACAAGTGGCAGTGACAGTGGTGTAATTACAGCGTTAAACAACACTGGAAATGTGTATTAATCCTCAGCCTGGTTGGCCAGTCGATGCCAGGCAGATACCTGGACTGAAAACTGGGTCAAGTGCTCCCACCATGAAGTTGGACGAAGACGAAGTAAAACCTGGTGCGTTTAATTAGGTGAAAGGGCTGTGTGTCTCTGTGTGTGTGTGTGTGTGTGAATCTGATGACAAATGCTGAAGGAGATAAGTTTAATGAGTGATTGGCGTAAGGGTATTTCCAGCAAAAGTTTAATTAGGCCAAAACGCCACTAATGACAACTAATGGCCCACGAGCTGTGAGCTGTGGGCCAAGACGGCGCACACCTCTGCGAAACGTATGCGAAAACGCTGAAATATTAGTTGTTAACATGCGGTGCGGGTGAGGGTAGGCTGAAGGGGTGGGGTGTGTGGATGGGTGCGGGGAGTTTGAGGTTAGGTCAAAACAGAAAAGACAAAGCACATGATCAATTTTCATTTATGTGCCGACTTCAACTTAAATGCTGCCTAAAAAAAAAAACAACAACAGCGAGTGAGAAACGCAGTGCGGCAACATCTCGTGGCAGCAGCAGCAGCAGCAGCAGCTCGACTCAATCAAGTTAATGGCGGCCAAATGGGTTTTTGATGCGCTACGCGCGCGCCCACACGCCCACCCGCCCACCAGCTGCCCCTCCTGGCAAGTGCCTTCATAAAAAATGATTGCCTGGCCGGAAAACTGTTTCAGTTTTAGCTTGCCGGCTAACGGTACCAAAGCTCTCTTGCCGTCTCGCTCTCTCTCTCTCTCTCTCTCGCCCTCTTTGGTTGCCACGGCCTAATGAAGAAGCGCTGGACATTTAATGTGTGCGCGCCGCTGAGGTATAAAAAGTAAATAAGTAAGCTTCACGAGAGGGGGGTCGTTGTGGATGGGGCGTGCCAAGTTTCTTATTGACAATTTGAGCATTTGTGCGTTAAATTCTTATGACGCATAATGCGAACAAGCAGCCGTTGCCCTCTGAACCTCTGAACCTCTCTTCGCCCATAGTTAATAACGGCACTTCATAAAGCCACGAGCCTCCATTTTGAGGTGTGTCCAACAACATGCAGTCTTAATGTTGCCATATGCTCACTTTCCTGTATCCTCCTGCTCCACCTCCACCTCCTGCTTCACGACTTTCTTTCCGGCTGCCTGCCCGATTTTCTTGGCTGCCTTTTTGCATGCGATTCGCAACGCTTGCGGCAGTGGCTATAGCGAGGGCTTAACCCTCAAACGACTCGTCCTGCCCGAAAGTCTAATCAAATTAATGGAATATTTTGAACGCTTATGTGGGACGTCACTTTTATATTGTTTTTATTTTTTGCTTTCTCTTGCTTTCGGCTAAGCCCACGTTCTTTGCATTTTGATACACTATAAGGCGAGTATTATGATTTTAGCTTAAATAGTTATGGGTCAACTGGAATTTGATGAAATTGTTTCTTTTTTTATGAATATAAAAAAAAATGTAAATTGAATTTTACTATATGTACATAGATTAACATTTATATATTTTTTATTTTCTTGTGTTTTACAGAGTAGTTGATGTTCTTATACTTTCCATTGAATATGTTTTACGTCATAGCATTTGATGTCTTCCTCTCTCGCTCTCGCACATATACACCGCCTGCCTTCATTTAATTCGCTCATCATTTCAGTCTCGTCATTCCTTGATTTCATTCGACATAACCTGCCTCGCAATTCTCAGTTTCACTGCTTGCCTTTTGATCTCAGCATCGCATCAGCTTTGTTTTTGTCTAGTTGTCTGGCTTTTGTCATCATTTTACTCTCTTCGCCTTGTGCTATTCGCCTGGCTCTGTCAGCTTGCATTAACA